TTTAGGACACTGAGAATTGCTGTGGATTGAATTAGCTGCTGCTCACCTTATGTGGTTTATTTAATTTAGTCTCTTCACCATTTTGTTAATGAAAATAACTTAATCCAAGGAGGACTTTACAGTTTACATGATTTTGACACAGATTGTTGTATCTGAAATAGGGTGGGAAGTGTATGAGTGTGGGTGGATTTAAAGTAAAAATTGACCCAAGTTAGTCTCTTGGGAATGTTGTGATACATGGTTCCTTCACTGCCTAATCAGAAACCTCTAAAGGCCTCAAGTCTTGTTTTTTTTTTTTTTTTTTTTTTTTTTTTTTTTTTTTTTTTTTTTTTTTTAACAACTGCTGAGAACAAAATGAATTATTCAAAGACCAGTGATGAAGATTGACCTGAACTTGATAGAGCTCGAGACCATGAGATCATTTCTTAGGATTTATCAGTCCTGCTTGCAGCCTAGAGTCCATCCTTGTCCCTAGCAGTGGGCTGGAGAGTGTGTTGGCTCCAGAATGCTGACCTCTACCATCCTCTTTCCCGGGGCAGGCTCTACCTGCATACCAGTGAATACCAGCTCCTTGGGGAAACGGCTCAGAAGCAGAGAGGCTGGGCATGAGCCCATGGATTTGGCATCTTGCCCCAGGCACAGCCTTGGAGGCGGAGGTGAGGCCTGTGCAGGCTAGCACAGAGCAAGGCGGGTACTTGGGGCTTCCACTTCCTCAGGGGCCCACCCAGGACCGTTCTCCCTTCTTTTCCTGCATTTTGTTTGGGATGCCACTACTCCCCAGCCAGACTCAGAAGGTGGCCTTATCCCCAGCTACAGTGATAAATCCCAGTAGATCTAAACCAGTGGTTCTCATCCCTGGTTTCACATTACTTACCATCTGGAGAGCTTTAACAAAATTCAGAGATCGGGAACCAAACCCCAAGAGCCTAGAGCATGTTATGACCTTGACATTGCCTGGAAGCTTGTTAGAGAAACAGACCCTCAGGGCCTACCCCAGAGTAATGTCAGAATCTCCAGGCTGAGAGAATAACTGGTCAAAGCCAATCATGGTGCAGCAGACTGTGTTTTTCAAAGGTGGTTACTACCACAGATCTCATCTCTCATGTGTTGACACTCCTCACATCTGAGATAAATCTGTGTGGTCTGGGGATTATGATGGAAATCACATTAGGTAACTTCAAAGGCTGCTTCCAGAAAGGCAATGAAGCTTCTCACTCTTAAAAGCAAGCTGTCACCCCACGAGGAAGACCAGGCCTTAAGAAAAGACTATGCATAGGCACTCTAGTGACAACCTTAGCTCAAGTCCCAGTGAACACCAGTTGCCAGACCAATGAGCAGGGAAGCCTTTGCAATGACAGCCACTGTCTGACTGTAACTGCCTGGGAGATCCCGAGTGAGAACCACCTTGCTGAGCCCAGCCAGCCCCTAAAGCTATCAGAAATAATCATGATATGATTGTTGCTGTCTTAAGCTACTAAGGTTCGGGGTAATTACTTGTGTATTAATAGACAACGCATGCATATGGCCACCCTGTTCCCCTTGCCAGATGGTGGTTTAGGAATGGGCATGTGACTTGGTTTTGGCCAATGAGACATGACATGAAGTCTGCTGGGGTTGCTATTGGGAAAGTTATCTTCGTTCCTCAGAAAAATACAGAGAAAAAGACTACAGTTCTCTTCCCTCTGATGCTGTTGGGTCTCAATAGAATGCTTGGAATCACTGTTGCCATCTTGCTACCAACTCGAGGATACAGGTGGCAGAGTTCTGCCTTCCTTCCTCTCTCCTGTCTCCCCACTGCTACTGCCTGCCATGTGCACTCCATTATGTAGAAATCTTAGTCTTCCTTGGGGTACCCCAAGATTCTGATCTCTTAGCTAAATTCCGCATTCTTTTTTTAAATTTTATTTTTTTGAGATGAAGTCTCATTCTGTCACTCAGGCTGGAGGGCAATGGTGTGCTCTTGGCTCACCGCAACCTCCACCTCCCAGGTTCAAGCAATTCTGCCTCAGCCTCCCAAGTAGCTGGGATTACAGGTGTGCACCACCATGCCCAGATGATTTTTGTATTTTTAAGTAGAGACCAGGTTTCACCATGTTGGTCAGGCTGGTCTTGAACCCCTGACCTCGTGATCTGCCCTCCTCGGCCTTCCAAAGTGCTGGGATTACAGGCGTGAGCCACTGCCCACAGCTAAATTCCACATTTTTGGGGTGTTGTCTGGGTGCCTCCATCAGGAGGCAGGGGCTGGGAGGAATCTACTGCTTGAATTTGGTTGCATTTAGGTTGTAAAACTTACAACCTCTAGAGTTGGGGATAGTGTCTGGGGACAGAGCCTGATGAGGTGATTTGCATCTAAACCCCCTCATTGTAGGAATGAGAAGACAGAAGTCCCGAGGGCTGCTGGTAACACACAGAGGGTGCAGCAGCACCTGTTGAGAACTCAGGCCTCTGAATCAGCAGGGCAGAGATCTCATGCATGCAAATCTTCAAGGGCAGGGCCACCCAGGCAGAAAAATCTTAGCCCCACAGTAAGCAGACAGGGAGTCCTGGCTTCATACACCAGAAAGCAGAGGCAGGCCCAGATGGATATGACATGTCCAAGGTCACAGAGCAGAGTCCAGGAGCCTGGTTCAGGGCTGTTAGATTCCAGAGACCTCAGCTCTGCCAGTACCAAGGACATGAGGCCGCAGCGCCTGTCCTGGGAGACGTGGATGCCAGAGGGGCACCTGCCTGGTTCCTATCAGCTCATCTGCATGCCTGGAACCCAAAAAGCAAAGGCAGTCCTGGTGGGGGCTCTGGCTGGCTCCAGCTTACCACCCTCCACCCCCCGTGGTGGCGACCACTGAGCCCTGTCTTTTCTATGACACCTGGAGCAGCTGCTGCTCCCATGGGTGAACCCCCACTCACAGTGCCCTGAACCAGGCCCCAGGCACAGGTACATTTGGCAGAATCCACTCACCCATCCACTTGTGCAGCCACTCCCTACACAGAGTGCTGTGTTCCAAAGGCGGGTTAACTTCCGAGTGTCGCACGAGCATATGAGAGTGGTTCCCTGGGTGTGGGGAGAAAGTCAAGACGTGGGGAGCTGCCAGCAGGTCCTGGTACCCAAAACCCAGGCAGCTAGGGAAGGAACAGAGTCCAGGCACTAACTGTTCAGGCCTTAGGTGGAATGAGACTCCCTGGCCTCCGCTGTCTTTGCTCCACTTACCATGGTTAGTTTTATGTGTCAGTGTAGCTGGCCCACGGTGCTGCCTAGATATTTGGCCAAACATTTTTCTAACTGTCCTGTGAAGGTGTGTCTTGGACAACACTAACATTTAAATTGTGGACAGAGTAAAGCTGATAGAGCAAAGGCTGACCTCACCTGAGGACTTGCCCACATCTGTCCTCAAAAAAAAAATTAATGTATCACTAGAAGAAAAAACACAAAAAGAGCCAATTTTTGTGTTTCTTTTCTCTCTAACTCTTACATGCACTCCAGCTTGGGCGACAGAGCAAGACTTTGTCTCAAAAAAAAAAAAAAAAAAAAAAGAGTAGTGAGTTCCAGGTGTAGGGGAACCAATGTCACATTGTCCCCTCTTAATGGCTGGTTACCCCAAGTCATTTTATTCCATAATTCGTGACACTTGGGTTTATTAGTCTACCCCTCCCATTTTTTTCCCACACTGCTTGAGGAAACAAAAGATCAGGATGCTTATTGGAGAAGAGACCCTAATTTATGATTTCTGTGTTGAGTTTGTACATGTTCATGTTTGGTAAAAATCCTGATTGAGGAGAGGCTGCAACTAGGCCCTGATTCTGAGATGAATTTATAGACAGGAAATGGTGATGGTGGTTTGATGATTGACACATTCATCCACCCCAGTGAGGGGAAAAACGGGCCAGAACCTGTTCCTAAGATGCGCGTAAACCACATCTTCCCAGGGTAAGGAAGGGCTCCTTCATTCAGCAGCTTAGCATCAGGCCAGTAAAGACCAAACCTAGCGATGTCTGAGTCCACAGTCAGCTTGTACTTAGGAGTAGATTCTGGTTTTCCAGGTGCACAAAAAACAAGCCTGGCAGTGACAGAGAAGGAGTATTGTAGAGACACAAAAGTATAGTTAAGAGCTAATTACAGTGCCAAAAATTGGAGTAGACCTCACCTAAAGGATCATCCAGTTTGGAAATGCTATCTGACTGTCTCCGAGCACAAGAACTGATTCCTTTACTTTGTTGGGGGAAGAACATGGTTTTGGTGGTATTCTGTAAACAGTAACCGAAGAGTACAACCGTCATGGCAAGGGTACCAGTGGAGAGGAAGGAGGCTTCGAAGCTGTCAGTTTATAGGTGGGGGTTGAAAAGTCACATACAAAAGCAGCAGGGAGCCTCCCATGTGAGGCTGAATCCTTGGAGTTGTGGGTGGGTGGGAGTGGAGGGGGCTTGGCACCCATTTAGGCCAAGCCCCTCAGGGCAGAAGGGTGTGGCCGAAGGATTCATGGTGAATGAGTGGCTGAATTGGGACCAGAATTGGCTTATCTTTCCCCTCTACCATGCTGCCAGACAAATGAAAGAATCTGGCAACAAAATACCTGTCTTCCCTAAATTCATTTGTGGAATGACTCCCTCATAACCTCAGAATATGGCTGTATTTGGAGATGGGCCCTTTAAAGAGGTTATTACATGAAAATTAACCATCAATTAATTGGGGATGGGTCCGAATCCAATCTGACTGGTGTCCTCATCAGAAGAGGGAATTAGGGGCCAGGCATGGTGGTGCATGCCTGTAATCCCAGCACTTTGGGAGGCTGAGGTGGGTGGATCACAAGGTCAGGAGATGGAGACCATCCTGGCCAACATGGTGAAATTCTGTCTCTACTAAAAATACAAAAATTAGCTGGGCATTGTGGTGCACACCTATAGTCCCAGCTACTAGGGAGGCTGAGATAGGAAAATCACTCGAACCCCGGAGGCAGAGGTTGCAGTGAGCCGAGATCATGCCACTGCACTCCAGCCTGGTGACAGAGCAAGACTCCATCTCTGAAAAAAAAAAAAATAATAATTTGGACACACTGAGGGACACCAGGCACACAGGGACATAGGCACACAGACCATGAGAGGACACAGCAAGAAGTTAGCTGTCTGCAAGCCAAGGACAATGTCCTCAGAAGAAGCCAGTTCTGCCAACACCTTGATCTTGGATGCTGGTCCCCAGAACTGTGAGAAAATTAATGTGTGCTATTTAAGCCCGCCAGTCTGTGATAGTTCATTACAGCAGCCCAGCTGCCTGGCACGTCACCCCTCCAAGCCTGCAGGAACCAACGTGCAGCATCCTGGACTGCGTGCTGGAGCCCATGTGTCGCCGCCGTGGCTTTGTGTCCTCAGAACCTAACGGCGTCTTAAAGAGGTCTAGAGGAGAGCGGGCACAGCAGCGACACCCAGCACTGTTTTGCTACTCAAAATCTCAAAACCAAAAATGTCTAAGCTGAGCCAACACTTGGAGAGCCGAAGGAGGGTGGGCGTGGCTTGCAGTAGCTTCTGTGGACTTCACGGAAGGTGACTGAAACCCCCTTAGCTCTGGTTTCCCACCAGGAGAATGGGTGTCACACTGCCTGGTCTTCTGGAAGAATCTGATTTGCCCACATCTGTCCTACACCCAGGGAAGCAGACACTCCTCTGTGTTAGGATTAAATTGGCAACCCCCAAATGTTCACAGGCAGCCTTTGGAGAGCGGCTGGATGATCCCAAGTCTGCCTTTGTTTGAACTCAAAATGCACCAGCTGTCATCAAATCCAGCTCCAACTCCCAGGCAGCCTCTTCAAAGGCTGCTTTCCTCTTAGGTGGTTTAGACAACTGTCTACAAGATTCCATTGTAGGACTTTGGTCCAGAAATACTGCCCTTGTAAGGGGATACTATCCCCAGGGCCAGAAACTGTCTGGTGATAGGAACTCAGACCAGCCCAATTCTAAAATCCTCATTGTCAGAATCAGTTATTTGGGTTAAGGCATAAAAGGATCCTGTATAATGCTATCAAAGGGCCATACATATTAGGATGTCCTCAGCCATTAACACCTCTTTGTGACTTCATCAGTGTGGCCCCAGAGCCACTCTTAGTCCCTTAGGGCCAGGACCCAGGGCAGCTGAGTTCTGGTGGGAGGAAAGGTTCACGGCCTGTGTCAGGGAGGAGAGACGGAGAGCACGGACAGGTGTGTCGTGTGGAGGGACTCGGAGGAGAAAGGAGTTCAGAAGGAACACTGCCAGCCTGACGTGTCTAAGCCAGCCAGACCTTCATATCAGAGTCACCTTTTGGCCAGAGGGTGCAAATCTTGAACGTGAAGGCCAGGCCAGTTGGCAAGTGCATGAGTCCAGCTGCATCTGTGTAAGGAACTTGGCATCTCAGAGCTGGCCATGGGCTAGGGCCGTGAAGTTGGGGGTGCAGGAAGAATATACAAAGGGAACATCAACCTCTCCTGGGCTTGCAGGGAGCGGCTGGCTTCCTGGAGCCACAGCTGTGATTGGCACTCACATGGATGGGGCTTCTTTCATGTTCCCAGCCAATCAGCTTGCCTGCAAACTCCAGACTCCCACACCCACACTGGGGGGCATTTAGAGCCCTTCTGGAGAAGCGGGGAGAGGACTGGGGTCAAGTGACAACAGCTAAGCATGGGTGGCCTGGGCCTGTCAACCACAGGCCTGGGGCTCAGGGGTCACCTGGAGAGAACAGGCAGGGTTGCCTGGCCACCCACGGTCCAGGGATGCGGGTGGCCGAGGCTCAGCAGGGCGAAGAGGACATCTGGTCATAGTCGGGGCACTTGAGCAAGGCAGGGTAGTTGCTGTTCATCTGCAGGGAGGCCTCGCTGGAGATCTCGGAGGGGCTGCGGCCCCTGACCCAGGCGTCTGGGTGTAGGAACTGGCCCGAGTAATCCGAGCAGTTGCTCAGCCGAGGGCGGTAGAAGCCGGGGTGGGGCCTGTACATGTCCTCCGCGGTGTACCGCTTCATAAACAGGTACACAGACATCACCCCGGCGCTCTAGAGGGGGAAGACAGTGGAGGACGGCTCACTGCCGGGGTCTGCATGGGACATGGCTTGAGTGGGGCGTGAAGTGGATGTGGGGACAGGGGCAGGGCCCTGGGGCCATCCTGGCTGGAGGAGACCCAGGAGGCAAGACAGGGACACATTCTGGGATGAAGAAGGGAAATAGGGTTGGTGGTCCAGGGCCCAAAATGCGTGCGGAATGTCCCCTCTCCCCTGCTCAGGGGGGCAGTGCCCAGCCCCAGCCTGTCCCTGCTCAGGGTGACAGGGTTTACCTCCGTTAAAAGGAAGGAGATGGCGGCGAAGGCAAACGACCACCCGTACTTGTAGTTGAAGTAGGTCTCTGCGTCCTTGGTCCTGTTGAGCATCTCGTCATTGATGCTGGAAATGTAGAGCACCAGGCCCACCACGAGAGAGAGGCCTGGTTGGGCAGGTGGGGGAGACGGGACACTCAGCCCAGAGGTGCCAGGAGTTTGCTGAGGTGGCACCCACCTCCCCTTGCAATTCAGGAGCAAAGCCGCCGGCCCGGATAGCAGTGCTGACATTGGAGCTGAAGGGAGAGCAGATGCTTGCCTCCCGAGTACCCTGTTTCGGCCGGCACCTTCTAGACAGCAGATGGGAAGCTCCTGTATAGTTGCCCTCCTAAGCTGTGGGCTAAGCCCAGTGGTTCTCATCCTGCTGTGCATACCCATCACACAGGACTGAGCCCCAGCTCTGGACATTCTGACACACCTGGCCTGGCATGGGGCCCTGGCATTGTATTTTTCTTTTCTTTTTTTTGAGATGGAGTTTCACTCTTGTGGCCCAGGCTGGAGTGCAATGGTGCAATCTTGGCTCAACCTCTGCCTTCCAGGTTCAAGTGATTCTCCTGCCTCAGCTGGGATTATAGGTGCCTGCCACCACACCCAGCTAATTTTGTGTGTTTAATAGAGATGGGATTTCACCATGTTGGCCAGGTGGGTCTCAAACTCCTAACCTCAGGTGATCTGCCCGCCTCAGCCTCCCGAAGTGCTGGGGTTTACAGGTGTGCACCACTGCGCCTGGCACTGAATTTTCTTAAGAGGGCTGTGAACCACTGTGCTAGAAATTGGTTTTTATAGAACTGAAGGGTAAAGTCGGCTCCCTAGGCAGAGATAGCCAAGGTGGTGGTAGGTGGTACCTGTCATTGTGGAGTTCCCTCATGTGGCCTGTGGTCTGTGCAACCCACCTGACCACAAGATGTGGCCTGGCTGAGATCTCTAGGTAGGGGAGGTAAAGACAGTTTGTCCAGATTCTGGCAAGCCTTAAATCAGGAGGCCAGGGGGCACCAACCGCCTACTGCCATCGTGCGAATGACTGCCTCAGGCATTAGCTCTCTCAATTAGTAGCTGTAATTGAATCAAGACATAATTAATTACTCTGTTTTGAACTGTTCAGGTTCAATTCCACTCACATTATTTTATGAAACTAGGGCATCTGGAAGGATGAAGGCTAAAGGAAAATCGATGTGACTGAAACCTTCCAGGTACTTGACTTGCGTTTGAATCACTGCTGCCCTTAATGAACCCTCTTTATTGTTATCGTTGAAATGATTTCATGTGGCCCATCTCAATCCTAGATTTCTGATCCCTAGCCCATTGCTGAAAAACCTCATGTATCTCAAAGCTACTGTTGACGGCCTTGGCTATTGTGAAGTTCACAAAAGGAAAAACAAAAAGCTTCACTACACGGGCTGTCTACCTCTTGGGCTATGTGGAAATATCATCATGCAAAGACAGGGCTGATGACATTGCTGGTGCTCAGTACATATGTGTTGGGTTGATGCATGGGAGGGTGGAAGGATGGACTGAGGAATGGATGATGGGTTGGTAGGTAGATTGAAAAATGGATGGAAAAAGAATGGGCAGGTGTGTGGATGGATGGATGGCCAGAAGGAGAAAGTGGCTCTAGGGCACCAGACTTTCTGACGGCTACCTGTCTCCCAAGCTATGTTGACAAGAAAATATTGGGACAAGGATCCTAAAATTACTTAGGAGTCGGGTGGTAATCAGAATGCCTGGTATCCAACAACAGCTGTTTTTCCTTCCTTCCATCTCCCATCCACCCACCCATCCACCCATTATTCAAGCCATTCACCCATCCATTTTCCATCCAAGCATCTTCTCCCCGGGATGCCCCCCTAATCAATCAGTCAGTCCAGGGCACCTAAAATACATGCCCCAAGAGCCACTCCTTTGGCCAGAGTCATTATCTCCAAAAGAAAAGGTCTCTATGAAAATGCGCAGGTCACCTTGAAAAGGAGAAAGAGCCTACGTTCGTTTCCCGTGTTCTTTCCCCTTCTCGTTCTACACACCGGCCACGAGCAATCTCATCCATGTCGGTGGATTATGTCCATGGCTTCCCTTCCCACTCCCTAGGCTGAAAAGTTTCCAGTCTCTATCTTTGGTCCAACTCACTCCCATGAGCCCTAGACGCCGACCTCTGGCAGCCTTCCAGAGACTCCTCCCAGATGTCATAAGGACATCGCAAACTTGGCATTTCCCACACTAAATTCATGATCTGCCCAAATCTCCTCCTGTGATCCTTGATTCAAGGATGGGATATGCCATCTACCCAGTGCTCAAGCGAGAAACTGGTACTCACCTCGACTCTTCCCTGGAAGCCTCATCCTAGTTCTGTTCAGTTTACCTCTCAAATGTCACTCAAACCCTCTCATTTCTGTCTTCTCCACTATCAACCCCCTGTTTGGGCCATCGCCTCTGCTATTGGAATAGCCTCTTGCCTAGTGTTCCTGCCTCCTGTCTTTCTTCCCTCCCTCCCTTCATTCCCCAGCATGGTCATTCTAAAATCCAAACCCGATTGTGTCACCCCTTGGCTCAAAATCCATCTAAGGCTTCTCATAAAATCCCCAATCCATTAGATGACCTTGGATGCCTTTTCCAGTCCCTCTTTTCCCCACACTTTTCCTTGCACCTGCCATGATGAGCAATGATCACTCAGTTCCCCCAATGCTTCATCCTCCCTCTTCCCTCCAGGTCCCTCTTCCCCACCCCCACTTCTTTGCCTAATTCCTACTCATTTTTTTTAGCTCGCCTCCTTCTGGTCTTCCATGACCAGCCTTTGCCCTGAGTGTCAGCCACTGCTCTTGGCCTCCATGGCTGACCTTGCTGGCCACCATTCATAGTGCTACTCACACTGGTTTTCTATCTTCCGTCTAGTGTTTGTATCTCCCATGATGCTGTCCTTTTTGTGGGCAGTGATGCCAACAGCCAGAATAAGGCCTGGTAGGTAGAGATCACAAATGAGTGAATGAAAAGAAGAAAGAATGAAGTACAACCTGGCATCAGTCTAGGAAGACAAGTCCATGTTGAAGAGGTCTAGGAGGGCTTATGGTGTGGGGTGTGACTGGTAAGGGAAGGAGACAGCAGGAGTCTCCTGAGGACAGCTGGGGGATGGGGGAGGTGAAGGAGCCATCATTCCAAAGGCCGATTGTGTTTAATATTCATGCACAAATATGAAGACATAGCCCCTTCAAAAATAGGAACACTCAAGATGATGGGAATTAAAAAGTCCTTAGGGGTAGCGATGTGCAGAGCGAGGAAGGAACCCTGGGTTCCAGTCCCGGGTTTGCCCGAGGGGAGCCTGTGCCTTCACCATTCCTGTGGAGCCTCTGTTGCTCTTCCAGAAGGTAATAATGGGCCCGGGGTTCTCAAATGTTTCCTCCAGCTCTGACTTAATTCTGTCTGGGTGACTGACTTAGCCTGTCCTAATTCCAGGACTTCCCAATGCAGAGCTGTTTGGGAGTTAAATAGCTGAAGTTCAGGGTGCTGGGCACAGTGGCTCCTGCCTGTAATCCCAGCACTGTGGGACGCCAAGGCAGTCAGATCGTTTGAGCTCAGGAGTTTGAGATCAACCTGGCCAACATGGCAAAACCTCATCTTTACTAAAAATGTAAAAATCAGCCAGGCGTGTGGCAGGCACCTGTAGAAGGCTGAGGCAGGAGAATTGCTTGAACCTGGGAGGCAGAGGTTGCAGTAAGCCGAGATGGCACCGCTGTACTCCAGCATGGGTGCAAGAAAAGAAAACAACACAACTTACCCGAGAGGATAAAGAAGATGCCGGAGACAAAGGCCAGTATCGTCCGATGGGGACGGATGTGTCCAATGTTGCTCAGGATGAACCCAATGAACATGAAGAAGAGGCTGACCAGAGGGAACGGTGTGGCCGAGCGGATCATCTCTAACGAGGCAAAAGGGCGGCCTGTCAGCCTCCAGGCCTGACTCATTCCTCCTCATCCCAAGCTGAGTGTTCCTGGGACTGTTTACCAACAGGTCTTCAAAGTCCCACCCCTGCAGGGGTTCCCCAGGCTCCACCCCCATCTGGTGGCCTGGGGTCCTTCCATTACTAGCAGGACTTTTGTCTGTGAGGTGGGCCTGGAGGGTCTGACTTCAAGTGCCAGTATCTTCAGGGCTTCTGTCATTTCCCCCAGGCATAAGCTACTATCCTCCTGGGGGTCCACACTGTCTGCCAATGTAGAGTCCACACCACCTGCCAATGTGGAAGCTCTGGAAGGGCCAGGTTATTCCATCTTACTCCCTCTTCCAGGCAGATTCACCATTTCCCTGGGCAAGGGGTTGTTCTGAATGGAACAGGGGAGAGTTAGATCCTCTGTTTCCTTCAACTTATAACTACCTGGGGAGAATTCTGTTGGGTCTAGTCTTTTTCCCTGATTCCTGAGAGAGAACCTCTAAATTCTTGGAATTTTCCAAGGATGGGAGTGTCTTTGTTATTCACAGTGGGTCTCAACCACACCTGAGTTTATGCTAATCAAGTGACTCAGGATGGGTACCAGAAACACCAACTGTGGGATTAGAGGATTGGGGTTTTGAACCAGGTGATGTCAGCTGGCCTCTAGGGAAGGTAAGGGGCTGGAGAGAGAGTTCAATGACATGATCAATAATGTAATTAATCATGCCTATGTAATGAAACCCAATAGAAACTCTGGACAGCAAAGCTCAGTTGAGCTTCCTGGTTGATGAACACATCAGTGTGTGAAGATGGTGACACATCCTGATTCCATGGGGAGAGGACTCTGATGCTTCACATTAAGGACCCTCCCAGACCTTGCCTTATATGTCTCTTCGTCTGGCTCATCCTGATTTGTATACTTTGTGATGAAATTGCAATGGTAATTATAGCACCTTCCTGAGTTCTGTGAGTCATTTTAGCAAATTATTGAACCTGATAGTTACGGGAGCTCCCACATTTGGAGCTAATTGGTCAGAAGTACAGGAGGCCAGGGACCTCTGAACTTGCAGCTGGCATCTGAAGTAAGGGTAGTCTTACTGGGGACTGAGACCTTAAACCTTTGGAGTCTCTGTTAACTCCAGGTGATTAGTATCAGAATTGCATTGCAATCTTGCAAGCTCATACTGGGGCAGAACCAACTCTGTTGAGGTCAAGGCCATGAAGTCAGACTCCCTGGGGTCCAGAGAGTCAGCTCCCTGATTAATGCCTGGAGCGGAAGACTGGGAGGCTCCAGAAATCTTTTTTCACTACTGGAAAATTAAGCTCTAATGAACTCAGGTCAGCACACCCAGCTGAATCTAAGGGCATTTCTCTTGAGAAATATGCTGGCATCCTGACTCTTCCCTCTACCCTGCTCCTCTCTGTCCAGCCAGTGGCCCAGGTTGCAAGACTAAAGGCACTTACTTAGAACATTGACCGTAGACTCGGATGTCAGCTGGGTGTTCATGGGCATCACATATTCTATGGTGAAGCAGCGCCCTCGCTCTTCACCTGTGGAGACAAGAATCACATTTCCAGGCCTTTCTTGATCATGGATTTGAAGTTAGTCCATTCAAATGGTATTTCCAAGTGTTTCTAGGATCTTTGACCTGCTGCGTCTTTGCACCTGAGCTGGGTCCAAGCCCTAGAGGGGTTCTGTCCCTGGCTCATGGCCCACAGCAGGGGTAGAGGCATGTCCTGATGTGACAAGCTTCCTGGAGAAGCACCTCTGTGAGGAAGGACCCAAGCACTGAGAGTCGTGTGAAAAGAGGTTGGTATTGCAAACTCTCCATGCTGAATGAGCATCTGGTGCCATCTCACTGTGTTTGGCCAGATGGGGCTGACGATGGTGCATAGCTGACTTAGATTCTCCAGTGTGGGTGTCATGGAGCAGAACTCCAAAAGCCTTATCAACCACCCTGGGAACAAGATCCTAGTGACTTCAAACTCTGCTACCAATGCCACACAGTCTGGAGCGGAAGTCAGAGTTGGATGCGATTCCCATGGCTGACTCAACACCTTCAGGTGTCTTCCCTGCTAAATACTGGGGAAACCAATACCCGCTCCACCCCCAAAAGCTGTACTATCAAGCTGGCAGGGAAAAGCCTGGGAAAGCCGAATTGTATCTCTTCCCAATGCACACATAAGTTACAGGGTCCTGACCACACTGTGGCCAGCCCAGGCTTGCAGCTAGTCTTGTATGACTTGGAGATGCTTTTCTTGTGCAGGCTGGTCTTGGGCCATGATAAAGGGATAAAGGATAGGGTTCTTGGAGAGATAACTTGAAAAGTTATAGGGAATCCCTAGTGAGTAAAAAGGGAGGCCCAGGTAAGTGAGGTCAAAATCTCTACGATGCTGCAGAGCTGGAGGGACCTGCTCGTGTGTTTCCTCTGTGCCATTTTATGGAGGGAGGAACAGAGAAACTGCCAAGTATTTTCTAGTCTCTAAACTAGTGGATGCGAGGAAGCTGAGTTAAGCAGACTTAACCTCCTCGAATCTTCATTTCTGCATTTGCAAAGTGGAAATAGTAAGTCCTGTCTTGCAGTACTGTTGGGGGAATTACATGGGATCGATAGTTCAATGAGCTAAGGCATGCAAGAGCATTTGAGATCTGTGCAAAGGCATTCTCATCCAGCCCTGGGAGCAGAGTGTGGGGAAGGCATAGTTACATTCATCTTTCAGGAGGGAAGACCTAGGGCAGGCGTCCCCAAACTTTTTACACAGGGGGCCAGTTCACTGTCCCTCAGACCGTTGGAGGGCCGCCACATACTGTGCTCCTCTCACTGACCACCAATGAAAGAGGTGCCCCTTCCTGAAGTGTGGCAGGGGGCCGGATAAATGGCCTCAGGGGGCCGCATGTGGCCCGCAGGCCGTAGTTTGGGGACGCCTGACCTAGGGGATGAAAAGCCTGGCTCAAATGGACATCCAGAATCAGGACTTGAGTTTGGAATGGGGTCTCGGTCATTTCAGGGAGCACCACCTGGCATATATGGGCATCATCTATGGTGAACTGTCTCCTTCCAGCATCTCTTGGCCATCCCTTCCCAGGGAGGGACCTCTTGGGGCAGGTGATGTCAGGGGGAAGGGCTGTCCCCAACGCTTGGCACCCTTACCTGCAAGGAAGCAGACCCGCCAGAGGCCCGAGTGCAGGGACATCTTGATCTCGGTGCTCTGGTTCTGGGGCACAATCACGCCCTCCTCCAGGTACAGCCAGTAGTCGGTGCTGACCGCGATACCCAGGAGGCCCAGGCCACAGACAGCAAAGACGCTGCTCAGCAGGGTCAGGGCCTTCCTCCCGCAGGCACTCATCTTCCCGGACTGTTGCTGGGCAGCCAGCCGCTGCGCTCCCACCAGCACAGAGTGGGCTCTGGGGCCTGGAAGAGTAGGTGAGCAGGTGGCAGTGCCCACGGCTGTGAGAAGACCAAGATGAGGAAATAGTAATTAAAGTCAACCCCCCGCCTGGCTCAATGGATGGGTAAAGAACACTGGACAACGCCCTGGGACACTAGGTCACCACGACAGAGGCGCAACCCTCTCCCTCACCCTGCAGCAATTCAGAGCTTTCTTAGCATCCCCCGTTGCAGGAACCCCCTTGTCCTCTCTTGGAGTCCCCTTGCTGGGTACTGCCATTCATTCGTTCATTCAGCAACCCATTGTGCCGGACATGGGAGATACAAAAATGAACATGACACTCTCCTTGCCATTGAAGGGTTCCCCATCTAGAAGAACAAAGGCACCCCCAAAGCAATTAAATGCAGCCCAGTGAGGACTCTGGTAGAGACCTGCCCAGGAAGTAGAGAGAACGGATGGAAGGGAGAACTCTGCTGGGTGAGCTTCTCTGTGTTGAAAAGGATTCTGAGACTCAAATACACTCTGAAAGAAGCCAGCTCCAGACAGGGAACTGGCAGCAGCCTTGGGAAGGAGCAGGGAAGGCTTCTTGAAGGAAGGGGTCTTCCTCATGTGACTCAAATCAGTTGCAGGACTGGGTCAACACAAGTAAAGAAGCCACACCAAGGTCCCAGTGCAACAGCCTCCTCAATCCACCTAATCAGAAATGGCCTGACTCTTGCCTGCCCAGCACACGCTGTTTGCAGGGGCCAGCTCTGAATGAGAAGAAGAGAAGCTAAGTGTCTATGCAAGGTCAACCACAAGCCCCACCTGCTGATATCTGCCAGGGTCAGGCACTGGACTTGGAGCTAGAAAACAGTGCAGAGCAAGGCAGATGGATACCAGCCCCCATAGAGCCCATAGCTAGCCTCAGGGCTGCTGTGCTCTGGCTGCAATCTATAGCTCCCTAGGGAGTGTCTAAAAAATCCCTGATTCCCACATCCCACTCCAAGAGATTGTGATACAATTGGACTCAAGTAGGGCCTGGAACAATTGGGCTTTGCTACTCAAAGTAGAGTTCATGGACCAGCCACATGGGCAGCACCAGAGAGCTTTTTAGAAAAATAGGCTCTCTGTCCTCTCCGACTCCCTAAATTGAAATCTGCATTTTAACAGGATCCGGGTGAGTTGTCCACCTACTAAAATCTGAGAAGTGCTGTGCCAAGCAGACAGGTGATGGCATCGTACTATAGCAACTGCTAGGATGGGAAAAGCCCAGGATGTGACAAAGGCCCAGAGGGGTAATCCGGTGAGGCTGGAGGGGGGAGGCAGAGCCATCTCTAGAAGAGGATGGGATGTTGGGCAACTCAGAAGGCTGGTATCACCCCAGCCAGCCGTGGCTGCAAGTTAGCTACCCTGGCAGCATCTTTCACTGGCCCCTCGCCATATTGCAAAGTCAGAACTTTCGAAATGGGATGTTAGTGATGTTAAGGAAAGCAGCACAGTGGTGCTTTGGTGCAGTTCATCAATATCAGGGCTCCAGTGGCATCCTAGGGCCCTACCCCAGGGCGCGGTTTCATGTCCCAGTTGAGATCCGAGGCACAGGTGGGTATTGAGACAGCTGAAAAGGGACAGAAGCCAGATTTGTCTGCAGAGTCAGAGTTGACTGTAGGAGAGGGGGAGAGATTAAAGTCTCTTTGTGAGAAGGGGTGGTGGTGGTGGTGGGGGGTGCGCACTGACCCTGATTCCATAGTGCCGACCCTGCCCTAAAAGTTGATCATGGGAAAGTTGATCGATCGACAGAGTGAGCCACACATTGGCTTCCTGGAGGCATGTGTGTCTGTGTCCACGTCTGCAAGGCTGGAGAGCACAGGGCTTTAAGCCACAGTGATCCTTCCTGTATCGGCTTTGATAAAGGACAGAGAAATGAAACGCCAAACAGCCCTCTCCACACAGCCAAGTCATTCTCCATGCAAGAGGGTGGGCAGTGGAGCAGGACAGCTTGTATCCAGCACAAGTATCTAGTAAAACACCTATCAACCCTGTGCTTGCAGTTGTGGAAGAGGTGACAGAATCAGAGGCGTGGCCACCTGCAGAGTTCTTGAGCTGGAAAGATGGGAAATTACAGCATCCCGTTCTGACTGAGGGTGGGGAGGCGTCACGACAGGGAGAACCCAGGGCCTGAGGAAGAGAAGCCAACTCCTAGCAGAGGCCCAGGGCAAGGCTGCTGCCGATTGGTGGGAAGCAATAGTGACATCGTAATGATAGTATTTTTATATTAATTAGCCAAACATTGTCAGTTACACTTGAAACTCACACAGCCTCAACATCTGTCAAAGGAAGTGGAATTGAAACCCCAAGGATGGCTAGTAGGGGTAAGGGGAGCAGTGGAGAACAAAGCCCCATGGCTCCCAAAGGCGAACAGAGCCTTGAACTTACACTCAGCCATGCCATAAAGATCCGTGTAAAGCTGGGAGATTAACCTCTTTGCTATAGTTTGGATACAGTGGTTGGTTTGTCCCCACCAAAGCTCATGTTGAAATTTGATCCTCAATGTGGCAGTGTTGGGAGGTGGGCCTGGGGGGAGGTGCCTGGGGTCCTGGGATGCCTCAGGAGTGGCTTGGTGCCATTCTCAGGGTGGTGAGTTCTCACTCTCGAAGACTGGATGAGTTTGAAGGGTTGCATTAGTCCCCTCGAGGCTGAGTTGTTACAAAGCCTTGGGTTTCCTCCATTTCCTTCTTGCCCTTCACTGCTGTGTGGTGATGCCACACAAAAGCCCTTACCACAGGGCCAGGGGTATGCCCTTGAATGTCTCAGCCTGCAGAACCAAGAGCTAAATAAACCTCTTTTCTGGGGTGATGGATACAGCAAACCACCATGACACATGTATACCTATGTAACAAACCTGCACATTCTGCACATGTATCCAGAACTTAAAATAGGATAAATTTAAAATAAAAAATAAACCTCTTTTCTTTATAAATTATCCAGTCTCATGTATTCTCTTATAGCAACACAGAACAAACTACGACACTCTCTGAAGCCTGTTTTTCTCCTGGATAACACAGAGGAAGAGACTAATAATGAAAGCTAATCATCGTTGTTAGGCACCCTGTTAAGCACACTTTACTCCCTATTTTAATCCCAACTATTCTATTACCATCCCCATTTTACAAGTGAGCAGACTGAGGAGCAGAGAGATTAAGAAATGTGCCCAGGAACGCTCAGCTGGCAAGGGGTGGTGCCTGCGTTTGAAACTTACCTTGCCCCACTCCCAAGCCCTTTCTCAAGGCTGGTATTCGCAAACTCCCAACCCCATCAGTTTATCCAGTGGGTTCCATTGAACAATAATTCCATGAAATATTCTAGAAAAAGTGACTCTGGTTAAAATGAAAAAAAACCCCAGCTTGTGAAGCACTGCACCTAGCCTTTATAGAACCACATTGCACGTTATGGTAAAGGCTTGAAAAGCCTGTTTAGCTTTGCTTATTTCAGTATTTTCCAAACTTATCTGAGAAAAAAAAATGTACATCATGTTCTATGAAACCCACTTTGGGAACCACACCCCGTGCCAGGAATAACAACAAGACCCGCCTTGCTCACTCCACAAAATTGCTGGGGTGATTAAACACGACAGCAGATATGACTGTGCTTTGAAAAAAAATCTAAAGCATGAGCCTGGCATAAGGTATTCTTATTAAGCAACAATGGACTAAGCCCCTTGCATCTTGCAGAGAGGATGGATCAGAGCTTCCAAACCACGACAGCTGTTGCCTGGTCGAAGCTGAGCAGCCGATCTTAATGTTAAGCTTGGCAGGGAGATGAAAAAGATTCACGTCTTGGAGATTTGGAAAGATGAAAGTGGAGAGGAGATTGGATCTTAGTCTACAAAAGCAAGAAATAAGAGGCTGAAAGTGACCTTGCCTGCCAAACTCTATAGCAGCAGATTCTAAAGCCTGGAAGATACCTAGGAAAACCAAACAGTTTCATCTATTTCCAGAGTACGTGATAAATTTATGGAATGCCACCTGGGGTGAAAAACAGCAATGTTGTTCATTACAAAATTATATCTATGCTTCTATTATGTAATCCTATTTATAAATAAATAACATCATCGGCTGAGTATGGGTTAGCTCCCAGGCGCTGTGCAAAGCCCTTCATGTACAGGGTCTCATTGGGACCTCATGATAACCTCATGAGTAGGTGGGATTAGCCCCATTCTGTGGATGGAGAAACTAAGGGTTAAAGATGTGGAGTAGCCTACAGGAAATCACAGGTGAGAAGTAGACTAGTTTTAAACCAGGTCTAACTCCAAAGTCTATGCTTGGACTACATCATCTCCCTACTGAAGAAATACAGGTTCAAAGTAGGTCACTCAGGCAATTTAGAAATGTACGAGACACGGTATGCAGAAATATTTCTTTGGAAGTGGCCAAGTGTCACATAAAGGCTTTTTGTTTGAAACTATATTGTTGGAATTCATCCAGGCATTCTGGTAGCTTCTTGGAGGTACACAATAACCCAGGATTTCTAATTCTGAAACTCACCTTGTGGGGTGGCAGGACTAGTATTTCCCTCAAACCACACACGGGAAATAGAGATCCAGAGGGAAGTACCTGAGATCACCCAGCCAGTTACTTGGAAAGATAAAAATGTGCACCAGAAATATTTTAGATGCTGACCCAATGCTTTTTTCTATGTATTGTGCAGAAAATTATTACACAGAAAATGAAAGTTACCTGCACTTCCCCACTCCGAAAACACCATTATTATTAACATCTTAGTTCGTTGCCTTTTAGTCTTTTCTCCTATGTAGTTGTGCCTGTGCATACATATTCTCCCACCCAGAGTCTTCAGCAGGGACAGGAGTGCCCTTGAAGACAGCCTCGTCTGGACTGGATTCCTAGGCCCTTCTCCCAGCCTCTGCTTTTACATGGTTCCTTCTCTATCGCACGAATCTCATGTTCATTTGATTTTCTTTATAGGAGAGGAGCCATTTTTTATAAGTTGCTACCACAAAAGAAAATGTTTACACGATAATAGTAAATGAATGAAGTTGAATTCAACACCACACATTTAACTT